AGATATGCTGATATTTTTATAAGGGAGAACGCGACTAGCTTCGGCTTGTGTAGACATGGGGAAGGCGCTCCGGCTGGCGGCGGGTGATACAGCTTAAGTTACGGTTGTGATACAGTTAGTCACAATAGTATGAGACAAACAAAATGAAACATTGAGTACATCGAACACGATACCTTGATAACACCAAACTACGTTCATTGAGATCCATTGGCATAAAACGCTCAGTTATCAACGGCATTTCCATGGCTGACACATTCCGGGCCTGACATTGATTGATAGTGCTAATCCGCTTAGCCACCCTTCACCACAGTGCCAGGGTACGCACCGAGGATGTGGGTGGTCTGAGAGTGGTTACCTGTCGGCGGTCCGCTGATTGTCGTTGGACGGGCCCTTCCGCTTAGCTGGGCGGCGCGGCGCTCCCTATGCGCTTTGATCCGCGGCGGCGCTCCGTCACCCACGCGTCGATGGCCTCCGTCGTCCGCCACGAGGGGTCGGCGGCTGCCCGTTGTGCGGGCCGGCCGGCGGCGCTGGTTCCGGCGGCGCTGGTCCCGGCCACGTGGTTCGGGGCCCTGCGCGGCTGGAACTCGCGCAGCGCGTCGGCTCCCACGATATCCACCAGATCAGCCAGGCACTTGATGGGCTTTGCTGCCTCCTCTTCCGTCTTTTTTATCTTTACGATGCCGTTGGTGCTGTATGCCGCCCAGAGCGTCTTTTGTTTCTTCAGCTGGCGGGCGACGTACATCAGATTTTGGTTTTTGGGCGTTAGACACTACACGGTTTGAGAGCAATCTTGGCATTAGCGACCACACACGGGTCCTAGGGTTGAAGATTATGGTAAGTTAACACTCGCACCGACGGGGGTCTGCGCCAACTTCGTACCGACGGGGGGGAGGGGCGTATGACCGCCCCCCATGAGATCTCAAGAACGAAGCAAGATAGCGACAAGCGGTAAACGGCAAGGGATACGCACGGACAAGGTCTACAATTTTTACAAAGGTCATTTTCAGGTCAGGTCAAAGATGACGTCACAGGGGTCAAAAAAGTCAAAATGGCGGCGCTTGGTATGGAGAGTTTTTCTCGAATAACTTTCGAACTAGTCAATATAGAAACAAACTAAGGGCAGCATCGTGATCCTCTCGTCAATCCGCATCGAATGATATATATGTTGACCTCGAAAGGTCAAGGTCAAATGTTGACCTCAGGTCACGTGACCTCGAGGTCATCATGTATATCATTCGATGCGTCTTGAAAAGCTGAACACAATGAGACCATCTGCGCGGCTGTATCTTGTTCCTGTACGGAGTTATTGTCAAAAAACCGCTTGTGACCTTTGATGACGTCACATGACCTTACAGCTGCCCAACAGCAAAACAGACCTCAAGGTAGTGAAGGTTGATCGTATATGAGGTCATGTATGGTTTATGGGGCCATTCCGACCCGTTTTAGTGGTAAAAACAGGGAGTTGATTTTTCCCCCATTGACTTATAATGCGGAGGTCGAGAAATTGACCTGACCTTAGGTCATCGATATCAAAATTCCGAGATATACAAGTTGTAGCTACTAATGACCTTAAAACATCCTGCGACTTTTAAAGGCCTCCGACATCTACTGTAGCTCTGGCACGGCGACAAAGTTGCAAAAAAGTGACTTGAGGTTGGGTCATTCAAAGTGACCTGGTGACCTGACCCTAACCCTCGCCCACACATGCAATTTCCCATCCTAGAACGCACATGGGGGGGGGGTGCCACCCCCACACCATTTCGTTCCTGTTGGAGATAGAGCTTCGCGGTAAAAACCAAAAACATTCTTTGGGAAGAGACGAATCCAATGATACCCAGTTTTACCTTCTCAGGTCAGTCATTGACCTTCCAGGTCAGGTCAAACTAAAAAATGTTGCTGTTTTGGGCCATCGCTGGATATCAAGTGCGCTGCTTAGCATATACCTACAGATGACGATGTCGTTTTCTGGTGTCAAGCCAGCTAGAACCTCTGTCACACCACTCGACCAGGTTTTTGCTGCTGAGGTCATTTCAGGTCAAGCTAGGTCAAGTTCAATGATGTGTGTTTGTATGTCTCTGTGTGTCTGTGTGTACCTATACTGATGTGTGCACCGTTGTTTATGTGTCCATATTACATGAAATCATGGTCTGACAAGCTTTTACAAAAAAATGCAGTCAAAAAAACTTCACGAAAAGTAAATTCAGCTTGCCTAAAACGCAATTATTTTAGATGACCTAGGTTGACCTTGACCCTGACCTTGACATCTGTACATCGTCGAACAGCATCTTCCATGATAGGTGGGTGGTAAGACTGGCAAAAAAGGCCGAAATCAAGGTGTCAAAAGCTCGCAAGGCCCATAGCCAACGCAAGATGTTGAGAATTGGTCATTTGGGTCATGACATGACCTGAAAAACAAGGTCATATCTCTGAAACCAAAAACGACAGAAACTTGAAATTAAAAGTGGACATCAAGAAAGGATAGCGGAGCAGATACACAGAAAATCAGGCTTCTAGCTCTAAAAGAGTTGAGTGCAGAGCAGGAAAACTATCTGGAGGGGGGAAGGGGGTGACAACCACCCTCCCCCATGTGCGGGCGAGGGTTAAAATTTAGGAGGTTCAAACTTGCACACCATGTGTAAAATTGATGAGAAAATAGTCATACTAAATTTCGTGGCGCTACGCGCCGCGGTTTTTCCGCTATTCGCGAAAAACCTCAGGGGGGAGGGGAGGCGGATAACCGCCCCCCCCCCCGTCGGTGCGCGGGTTGATACCGTTCATCATTTCATCTTCAGCGCTTATTCTTATTTTTTTGCTGAACACCAGGGCGGGGTCACGCATCAACACAGTTTGATTCTTTAACTAAAAAGGTACCTACATCGTAATGCCAATAAGATCAGTTTCATTCTGCTCGATCTGGATTGCATCCGCTGTACCGCCATGCCATTTAGAATATCCATTCAAACCACTTTAAGTAACAAAAATATAAATTTCTATGCAACAACGTAACTATGTTATGTTTAATTACTGCTATCTGACTTGTCGATTCTTACAAACTACACGTAAAGGTCGGTGCGAATGTGTGAGCGCTGCAGCATATTGGGGAGTCGAGCGCGGCGTATGTGAGTCAGCCGGCGCGGTGGCGCGGCTCTGTCGGCCCGTCCGGCGGACACTGACCGGTCGGTCGGGCTGGAGACGGTCCGAGAGGAGCTGCAGCTGCGGCCGCCGCTCCGAGCCGTCCGCGGCCGCAGAGGTACGCCGCAGTCGCAGCTAGACGAGGGCGCGGCGCCGGGCCTCCCTCAGGGACCGGCCGCAGGTCCCCCACTGAGCGACCTGACCGGCTCGGCCCACCTGCGCCCCTTCTGCGTGACCGGTGCCCATCCAGCTAACGCCTTGAACATGTCTGTAAACATCGTGCGCTGACCCTAGCAACCACTGGTGCGCTGTTGGCGTCTGACCAACTATCAGGAAAGCGAGCGTCGGAACCATTCGGCCGCTATTTCTCACGGAACGTGACGTCCGCACTGTATGTATATACCTACTATTGCGGGGCACAGACCTGTGCTGCCTGAGAACGTGTGTCAGGAAATGCTGCGATATGGCGATGGAATGAGGGCCAATGAGGCTACATATTTTTCATTAGAAATTTAATTCAAGTGTTTTGAAGGGATTGACGGGTGGAGCCGGAGCTTGCGCAGTGCGCTAAGAAAGGGTGTGATTGACATTTATGGCACAGGCCTAAGCCCCTTACGTGCTTACGATTGGGTAATTTAGGGGAAACATTCATACCGATGTTGAGAATAGTACCTACCTAACATTTCGGACACAATGAATGGAGACTTCCACTGGCGTCTAACTGAGCATACTTTCACTGGCGTCTAACTGAGCAGACGTTCAAGTTGGCGTCTAACTTGGCATCTAACTGTTGGACGGATACTTCCAAACTAAACGCGTCTTAACCCTCGCCGGCCAAAGGGGGGGGGGCGGGTGCCGCCCCCCCCCCCCCATAGGGGAAAGTGACCCAATAACGCACTGCTCCTATTTACGCACGACCGCAAGGAAATCATCGCTAGATGTCACTACAACTTGCTTATAATCAGCTGAATGTGCTGCGCCAAAGCGTCTGCCTTTTCTGCACCACGTGCAAGTCGATACGGTAAGTTTGGCTTATATCTGTTGTAATGAAACATCTTTCTGTGAAAAGTCGATGCGACTAAACAGTCAAAAAATGCCCCAACTAATAAGCAGTGTTCGATATATCCCGAGTTTAGGAAGATTGAATACGAGGGCAGGCTTCTCATATGTGAGTCATTAGGATCAAAAATGCAGTTGAAAATATTAATTTGGTTCAAAATGATGATGTTGATAACTTAGTTATTTAAATCTTATGACGAGAGCGATTGGCATTTTTGATATGCAGTGTTATTCGAAAACAGGTCGGAGAGTTTAAGTCTTTAATTTAGTAGTCGCCGCTTACTTATAATGCGGCATACACGCCGCACATAACCGCCAATGCCGCAACGCAGCTTAGATTTCGAAGTAAGCATTTGTGGGTATATTGGGTTTATTGTAGGGTATGTTGGGGTATATTGGGTTTAGCCTCACCCCTTGCCTTGTAATGTAACTATGCGATTTAGAGCTGCCAGTTAATTATGCACCGAGTGTTTTTATATACCTTGGCACCGAGTGAGTGTAGGCCTTGTGTGGTTAAAAAACATTTTTATGCCTTATTTTTTTCATTTGAATGCTAGGATTCATTGAAAAGATGAAGTCTGATTTTATCACCATATAAGGTCATCGCCCCGCCCACTCCAGCCGTTGATTGGCTAATCCAATTTTTGTTTGGCTCCTCATAGTTTCCCCAACTGGGCTCAGGCTAAACCATAATAGAGATCAACCTAGGGTACCCCAAATCTAGTTTTCTCATGGTTTTAGGCCACTCACTTTTCATACGTTGGCCTTTAAAAAAAAAGCGAAAAGTAGGGCATTCTGTCTCAGCTGAGTGAAGAAACTACTGTTTTGGCAACATGGAATAAAGGTTTTAATCTGACAAATGAGGTAACAGTACTGGCACATTGTGGTTACCTACTTGGTTCGTGACTTGTTACTGAACTGCAGGAAGCCTGAGGCGTCGACCATGCTGCGCCGGGTACACTCCCGCTGCCCCCATGTCTGGGGCTACCTGGGGGTGCAGGCACAGCGTGCGGGCCTTCTGCTGGTGCACAGGCAGCCGCCAGCCCTGACGCGCCCCGAGAGCAAGTACCACATGCTCGCCAGGCACAGGTGAGTCCCAGCCAATAGAGTCTGGTATGCCATCAAGTTGTAGTATGTACTACATACTAGCAGAAGGTGCCAGTCTCTGGCACTTGAACAAAGTGGACGGCGGGGATGCAGTAGCGTGCAACTTGGCCTCCACCTCCTTGGACCGTTTTGTCTCGGACGGTGCTGTGGTTACCTACTGTAACAACTGTGCCAGACAGTCAGTGATGTGGGTACCGCCCGTCATTTGTCACACGGTGTCTTGGTGTTCGCCCCCCAGGCAGCAGTGGCTCCTCGTGTCCCCGGTGACGGCCGCGCCGGCCGGCACGCGCGGCGTCGGTATGCTGGTGGCGCGGATTGTGCGCGGCTTACTTAAGATCCGCTATCTGCTGATCGGGGGCACACTGGCCGGTGGCTACTCCATACAAAAGGTGCTGTATCAAACGCTGATCTAATCCACTGAAATGTAGAGCATATGCTGGGCAGCAGATAAGGCTTCTTTACTAGGCATGTTGCGACCCATTATCTTCCTAGCTGTGACGTGAACTGGTGGTACTTTTGGTCTCAAGATAAGGGCCCAGGCGACCTGTAGTTTTGATGCAGTAAATACCCTTACTCTCGCCACAGATCGGGCCGAGTGCACCCTTCTTTCCATCCAGCCCCACCCCTACTCGATTTGTGGCGAGGGTGAGGGTATTCACCGCATCCGAACTACAGGTCGCCTCGGCCCTTATCTTGAGACCAATAGTACACATTTCATGCGTACTGGAGTTGAACTCTTATCATTTTTGCCTGGACAAACTTGGAGCCAGTTACGTTGCTGTGGCTGTGCCGTGCCTGTCTGTGACTCTCGGTGGTGAGCGTTTTCACTCTCTCAGTCGTACGAGGATTTCAAGAAGGGCCTGCCGGACGTTGGCTGGCTGCACGGCATTCTGCCCTCCACGGAGGCGGTCGACGCTTTCCGCGGAAACATGATCAAGTTCAAGGACAAGTTCCGCGACTCTTTCTCAGCGTTCGAGTTCGGTGGGTCGGCTGGTGGTCGTCAGAAGGTGGTTGTGGGCCGGTGCTTGTGACAGTCACCAGCTTAGGGCACGGGCTCGTCTTGTTGTGATCGCTGTTTTTTTTTTTTGTGCACAGTATCGACGTCAAATATTTCGAGGTACAGTTACACCCTGATTGATACCCTGTTGATGCGCAGCTCCATTCCATTTTAAGTCTGGATAGAAACGCTGTTGGGTGGTTAGTGCCGTCGTGGTGGCCAGTCATGGGTATCCACTGAGCCGTTGCTGTGTGTCCGCCAGATGCCAAAACCAAGGAGCTGTACGGCGACAAAATGGGCGAGTTCCGCGAGTGGTTTCAGCAGCGACTCGACGACGCCATCAAAGCCTCAGAGGCGGGCCGCGCGCCCGGAGACCCAGGTGAGACGGGGCCGGTCGGCAGGCTGCGCAGCGCGGGGCCACGGGCTGGGGTATAGCTGCGGCCCACGGCACCGCTCACACATGACGGGACAGGGGCGGGCCGACAGACCCGGTCAAAGCCGCGTACCGGTGCTGTGTCCACGGGCGCAGGGCGCTCAGTAGCGACGACGGGCGGGCGGTGCGGACACGGACCCGCGGCAAAACCAGGTGCACCTGAGTCCGGATCACAGGCACATGAGCAGAGTGCAGCTAACACCTGCGCCCCGTTCCGGCCGTCTTGTCCGATAGGGAAGCTCGGCGACATCCGCACCTGACCTCTGAGGGACGTTTGATATAGCGGGAATCTTGGGCTCAGTTTGTCAGTGTGAACGCACATTAGCGTTTTACCTCTTCTTGCCATGCTAATCAGAAAACTTGACTCCTTCGCCTAACTGTAATTTTGCTTTAACTTATTATGTAATAATGTTTTCGACATCTTAATGCTTTTTCAGTTGGACTATTTGGCATGTGTCGTTTCGTTTCATTGATTGAACTCACCCCATGTTCTCTTGTTTTGCTTTTAGGTTTGCTTTTGCTTGGCCCGGGACATTTCCAAGCAGGTGCGTGGGACTCAAGTTTTCTGTAGGCTCTGCACTATCTCCCTTGGTTTCGCGCTTTATTAACCCGCGCCCTGCTGGGGGGGGGGGGTGTTTGAACACCCCCCCCCCCCTTGTGGTTTTTCGCGAATATCTCAAAAACGGCGGCGCTCCGCGCCGCCGTTTTTGGTACACCTTATCATACATCAATTCTACACATGTTGTGAAAATTTCAGACCAAGGTCATTCAAGGTCAGGTCACCAGGTCACTTGAAGTGACCTCACCTCATAAAAAGTTTCAATGTCTGTCATAGCTACACCGAGTGACCGATCGCTTTGAAACTTTCAGCGATTGCTAAGAGCAATAGCATATACAAAATGTATATCTCAGAATTTTGATATCGATGACCAAAGGTCAGGTCAATTTTGCGACCTCCCCATGATAAGTCGATGGGAGAAAATTGAAATGCGCCTCTTTTGGACGAAAGACATTATAAACACTCCCAAACACTGAATTACAAGTGGTTTAGACACACTGAACATGAAAATGGTGTCCGTGACCCCTGTTTATGCCCTGAGGTCATCTTAGGTCACGAATGGTATCTAACAGTTTTTCGCAAATAACTTTTGATAGAGGCATGCTAGAGCGATGAAAACGCCTTAGATGTGTTCAGCTCGACGATACGGATCGACTGATATGCAACATGACCCTTTCCGGTCAGGTCATGACCTTGACCTGAGGTCAAATTTTCAAGTTGACCTTTCAAGGTCAAGTTATAGTTCATTCGATGCGTCTTGATGAGAGGAACACGATGCCGGTAAAAGTAAGCTCGTACAAGGCTTGGGTCAAAAGATATTGCAGAAAAACTGTTACCGAAAAAATCGGCTATTTTTGCAGTTTTTACCCCCTGCAGGCAAAACCGTTGACGTTAGGTCAAATTTGAGAAAATTACTCAGAAAGGGCGTTAATAGGGCTATCGAATGCGCTTTTCCGCGGCGCTGTAGCTCTATTGGTTCCCGAGTTATGCGTTGGCTTCTTGGAAATTGTCGACATTCGACCTGGAAATCGGCGAAATTTTGCCTTCAATGACCTCTGGTGACCTGACCTTTGACCTGACCAAAAATTGACCAAAGTGATTTCCTCATTATTTTTGACGCTCTTTCGAACGCCGCCTTCCGCGTATCGCTACGTGGCCCAGGAGCCGAGTTAGAAGGGGGGGGGGTGTTCAAACGCACACACCCCCCCCCCCCCCAGCAGGGCGTGGAAATCCAGGACCCCCAGCCGGGCGCGGGTTAAGCTGCGTTGTTCATTGAGTGTGGGCCGGGCACTAGTGTCGGCTCCGCTGCCGTGTGTGTCACCGAGTGGCGATCTAGCCGCTCGCTGGATCGGCGGCCAGGTGACTGGGTGTCGGTGTGGGGAATCAGCAGGCCGTCTCGGGGAGCTGTCACTCTCTGACCCCGTGCCGGTGTGCCGCAGAGCCCGGTGACGACTCCTCGGCACTGGGGGCGGCGCCGGCCGTGGCGCTGGCGTTCACACGACCCCAGTCGACGGCCGAGGACACCGACAAGACCAAACAGGAGAACGGTACGCCGGGCGCGCCGCGAGCCTCTGGGACCGCCGCCACGGGTCGCGGGCGGGGTGCAGTGCTGTACGCCATGTGATATCACTCAATGGGGTCGGGTCACAGCTGAATAACCCCCGGGTCCGGATTTGGCTGCAGGCTCTGTCTGTCCGTCTGTCTGTCCACACGGCTATGATGATGGTAGGATGGTGCTATGATGGCTCTCCGCTCGGCGGTCCGTGGACGCGTGGCCTCTCCGGCGCCCCGCGCTGACCTCTCCGGCGCCCCGCGCTGACCGGCAGAGGCGCTGCGCCAGAAGCTGGACGCCCTGCAGAGGGAGCTGGCAGAGGTGCAGCTCAAGTACCAGCGCGAGCTGGAGCGCGTCGAGCGCGACAACAAGGAGCTCAGGAAGCGACTGCTGCTGCGGGCCACCGAGACGGTGGCGCACCGCAAGATCAAGGTACCAGGCCTCCGGGCGTAGCGGCACGGGCCGGTCGGGCGTCGGCTGACCGCAGACTGCCTCCAGAACATAAAATACCTACTGAAGAAGTTGACTGATCAAATTTAATATTGAAAGTTTATTTTGATTTCACCAAAAAGGCAAAAAGGCATGGTAAATTTTTGGAAGAAAAACAGAAAAGTGAAGTATCAGTAATGACTTTATGTTGCTCTGCAACCGGATTTTTCACTTCCAGAACACTGCAGCTTTAATGCCACGATGCTGTGGATGCCGTTATACGGTCAATGGCCACCCCTCCCCACCTCACCGACCTGAGGCTTGCTGCCAAAAGGCCTACAGGCTCTGAACCGAGTGACGCCGCGCACGTGTCGCCATACGGCAGGAGATAAAGTGGATGTTGTGTTTGATTTATTCTGACATTGACAGTTATAGCCTATCTAGTGCCGTGAAGCCCGCCTACGAGCGGGGCGGTCCCTGTGCGTGGCATCTGACGCGGGCCGCCGGCCACCGCTGCCGACAGAAGTCGCTGATCGACATGTACAGCGAGGTGCTGGACGAGCTCAGTGACTACGACTCGTCCTACAGCACAGCCGACCACCTGCCACGCGTCGTAGTCGTCGGCGACCAGAGCTCCGGCAAAACATCCGTCCTCGAGATGATCGCCAGGGCGCGCATCTTCCCACGGTGAGCGACAGCCACGACACGTCCCACGCGCCCACTTGTCTACGGTGAAGGGCATCCATCAGCTCGATCTCTCCGTGGCAGACATCTAGAGGCAGCCACAGGCCCAGCGTTGGTTGGATTCAGTCCGGGCCGGGCGGCTCCGTCTGCTGCCGTCGTCGGCTGGCCTCGGACGGGCTGTGCGGCGCCCGTACTGTGCTGTGCAGGGGACGCAGCACGATACTGCGCCGGATGGCCCGCATCCACTCAGCCATGTCACTCTGTGTGGCCGCCGACAGCCGGAAGCTGGTGTGCCGGCCGGGGGCCATCCCCGCGCCGCCCAGCGCGCCGGCCAGCTGCTTCCAGCTCTTCAGGTGGGCCGGCTGGGCGTCGCCCTCCGGTAGCCGCACCAGCTCGAAGCAGTTGTACCTCTCCAGTTCCAGCACGGCGCGCACGGTGACGTCCTCCAGGATGAGCATCCCCTTGAGTCCCGCGGCGGCCGGATCCACGAAATAGTACAGACAGTTGTTTTTAAGTATGAAGTAGCGGTCTTTCCACGTCTTGACGCGTCCGCCCTGCTTGCAGAGCCAGCCGCGGTGTTGCGGCTCGCTGAGCGCGTATCTGAGCTCGCCGGTGGTGTCGGTGGCGGGCGCGGGCAGCGGCTCGGCGCTCACCTGCCGGTATAGGCGCAGCAGCTCGTCGGGCGGCGGCGTGTCCGGGCCACAGCCGCGCACCATGTCTACGAACCGCTCCGGCGACGGCCGGTCGGCGCGCGCCTTGGGGTCGTGCAGCAGCTGGCTGAGGAGGAAGAGTGCGTAGGCAAGTGTGAACCAGTCGTGTGCCGTCTGGCCACAGTCGTTTTGCCGGCCGTACTCTGCAGCGAACTTGGTCAGCACGTGGTATATCCGCTGGTTCTCGCCGTGTAACAGGAACGTTGAGAGTACCTTACGCAGCGCCGCCAGCAGCGGCAGCTCGCAGAAGTCGAAACTGGCCATGAAGGCCTCTAGTACGGCGCTGGGAAATTGGCCGGGCGCGGCCAGGTACGCGCCGATGGCCCGCTTGTCCAGGTCTCTGCGCTCGAGCAGCAGCTGCGCCACGGCACGGGCCGAGCGCGGCAGCACGCCGCTCGAGATCATCGCCTCGACGGCCGGCTCGGGCGCCACGTTGAAGCGTCGGCAGGCCGTCGACAGGCGCTCGCTGAGCCGCGGCTCGTCCGTAGCGGTCGGCGCCGGTCGGCCGGCACGGCTGGCCGGCGGCCCGCAGACAGGACCGGGCTCCGCGCCAGCGGCCGACACTGGTCGGCTGGTGGAGGCGGTGCCAGCGTCGGACCGTGCCGGCCGGCGGCGGCAGCGAGGTGCTGGCGGTGTCCCTTCGGAGTCCCACGGGTCCACGTACCACTGAGTGCTGGGGGTCGGGCCCTGCTGGTGCCACTGCTGCTGGTTCAGCTGGCTACAGTGGAGCTGGCAGTGAAGCTGGTCTGCGCTGCGGTCGGGCGGCGGCCGGCGCGGCGGGCTCGGCGTGTGGCTCAGACACCTGCGAGGCGCCGTCTGGGCGTGGCCGCTGCGCACGGGGCTGGGGCTGGCGCGCCGGCTGACGCACACCCGAACACCGAGCAGCTCAGACCGGTCGGCGGGCGCGGCTCCGTCCGGCGCGCCCCGCTCGCCCACCTCGGCCGTCACGACCACGGCGACGGCGGCTCGGCGGGCCACCGAGGCGCGCGGCGCCGGCAGCGGCTTCCGCGCGGACGTCACGCTGGGCAGGCGGCCCGACATGGCCGCAGACTGGAGCGGTCCGGCGGCTGCGGCCGACTGCGCGCCGGACGGCGGGCGCAGTACCTCCGGCCAGCCGCTGCCGGACGCCGCCGCGATAGCGGGCGGGTGAGCAGACCGGCAGGGACGGCCGAACTGCGCGGTGTAACAACTGGTTATGGACGATGACGATGTACAATAGGGTGGCCATTTTTTGCAAAGTACACGGAATCACCGCTCCAAGCCTCGATTCTGATGCTTTTTTTCATGCTGATTCCGATTCCGTCGAGAAAAAAATGAAAAATTCGTTTAAAAAAATTGACCCCTGAACGTCCTTGAAGTTTTTGGATAAAGTGGAAATATCGACGTCTCACTGCATAATCGAAAGCTGCGTTGTGTTTAGGCTGAAAAGTTTATATGAGCTTGAAACATGGTCTGTTGGCGTCACAATGCCGCTAAAACCAGCAATATCACTCAATTGGTTTGGCGACAGCATTCAATAATATCCGCACCCTTCGAGTCAATTTGCCTCTGATGGCGAGTTTCGAACTAATAGTGATACATGTCTGCCTGTAGGTGACAGCACTGTTCCCCAAACTTCGAATCTTTGATAGGTCATTGTGATATCATTAACACGTTTTATAATTATGTCTTCCCTGCCAAAAGATACATTAACCATTAATCTGTTCGTCTGAAAGAAATTTCAGGCATCAGTGTGTCACTTTCCTGGTCTCGACATGCTTCAGCCTTCGCATACCAACGCAAAATGTTGGCTCTGGAGGAAGATTTGTATTTTTTCACGAAGTTACCTCTCCTTGCCCTGCGTCAAGTGGTTTAAAAGATATTGCAGAAGAAACGGGAGGGGCGCTCTGTAGAGCCCCCCATCCCCACAGTCATTCGCGGTAAATATAACTACCTATATCGATGCTGTATTGTCGTTTTGTGCTACTAGAGTTAAAATGAGTCATCTGTTATTTTGTTTTGAACATGGGCCATCGTCTGCGCCTTGTGGAGGTCCAGTTGGGATTTCGGTGTGTGGCGGTAAGTCCCCTGGCTGTCCCGGGCTCCGGGGACTGGCCTTCTGCTGTGCGCGTCGGGGAGACCCGGCGGTGACGGGTTCCTGGGCCTGGAGCCGGTCCGGCCATGAGGTCGCCGGCTCCGGGCGGTCGGCGCGCCGTCCTGTCCCGGCGATAAGGACTCGTGATCGCCACAGCGTGACTAGGGTCGCTGAAAGGCTGTATAGCCCTATTTGTGTACATTAACTACGGCAACACCGATCGGTGCACATAATGAAACATGATATAAATTCATCAGGCTAGTTGGGCAGTTTCTTGGAAAGGTAATTGCAAAAAAATAATGTGTGATTTTTTTGTCACTAACTTTGCTCGATTTGTGATCAATTGACATTAAAATTGGGTATCACTCGGCGCCCCTTGCGGGAAGTAAGGCAGTCGTTTTTTTCTGCTAAACGCTTGATGAAAATGATGAAATTGCTCTGCTAAACGCAGAAAATCCCATTGAGATTTTCTGAAGAAAAAATCACAATTGATGGCCAACGCGAGAGGGTAACACAAACCCTGGCCCTGTTTCACCGCTGATAGCAGCACGCTGCTATCACGTTTCGCGAGCTGACGTAATGTCATGACGCCATACTGTTGACGTAATGGGCATTTCTGGCGTACGATTGCCGCGACCTTGGCCGCGACATTAAGTGACGTTATTAGCTTTAAAGTAAGAGTTGACGCAGGCAAAATAGCATATTTATGAATCAATTATGATTTTTGAATATGATGTATTTAAAACAAGTTAGATTTCGGAAAAAAATGGACGTTAACCTCGAACATTTAGTTCATGACGTCAAACAATATTGCGGCAATCGTGCGCCAGAATTGCACCTTACGTCAGCAGTATAACGTCATCACATTACGTCAGCTCGCGCAATTTGATAGCAGCGTGCTGCTATCACCGGTGAAACAGGGCCCCTTTTGTGCTGTCGGAGGATGCAAATAAGCGAATGACGGCGAGGAATGAGCTATAGCTCACGCGTGGTTATATGTATTTAATCGATTGTCAGTCTTTTTGATATTAGAATAGGTTTGTAAATAGATTCCTAGCGAAACAGGGTTTCGAAAATGTCATCAAAATTGTTTCGTAGGAAGTCACTTTGTGGTCTTGTGTCTCCCCGCTGACACCAACTGTGTGTGCTCTCAGCGGTGCCGGCGAGATGATGACCCGTGCGCCGGTCAAGGTGACTCTGTCGGAGGGTCCCTACCACATCGCCCAGTTCAAGGATTCGAGCCGCGAGTTCGACCTGGGCAGTGAGGCAGACCTGAAGGAGCTAAGGAAGGAGGTGAGCGCGCGCGGGAGCGGCACTTGTCGGCCAGCAGGGAGCTGGCCCACGGGAATGAAATCTGTCGAGTTGTGTATTTTCTATGGTAATGGTTGATAAATAGTTAACACTCGTGTCGTGGAACAACCGTCGCAACAGTTGCGCCTCACTTCAACTCACTTCAATATTTTGTCATCCCTATCAGGCGAAAATGATGTTCACTCACCATGCTGCTATTTAGATCTGTCTAGACCCTATGCTGGTTGTTTACGCAGCGTCTATAAATAGTGTGGCGATAGCGCCGCGCCCGCCGGCCGCAGTCCGGGGAACGGCTGACCGCCGGCAGCGTCATGGCCGGACGGCGTGGGCGGACGACTGGGGTACGGGTCGGACACCCCCCTAGGAGGGTGGACTGGGACTGGGACTGGCCGGATCACGGCCCGTCCGCCCCCGGGTAGCACGAACCTTGACTGGGCCGGGAGCAGGAGTCCGTCTGCCCGGTGTGTCTGACTGCTGTCCGGTGTGTCTGACTGCTGTCCGGTGTGTCTGACTGCTGTCCGGTGTGTCTGACTGCTGCCCGGTGTGTCCGACTGCTGTCCGGCCCGCAGGTGGAGCTGCGGATGCTGAACTCGGTGCGCGGCGGTAAGACGGTCAGCCAGGAGGTGATATCGATGACTGTGCGCGGCCCCGGCCTGCCGCGCATGGTGCTGGTCGACCTGCCGGGCGTCATCAGCACCGAGACCGTGGAGATGGCGGCCGACACGCGGCGCGCCATCAGCACCATGTCCGAGAGCCACATGGCCAACCCCAACGCCATCATCCTCTGTATTCAGGACGGCAGCATCGATGCCGAGCGCAGCAACGTCACCGGTGAGCGAGTCCGACCGACTGTCCGACACTGCCCCTACCCAGCCGGCGCATACTGGGCGGATCGCCAGTTCTAGCACGACATGGGTCAAAAAATCGAAATTTGTGGAAGTGCAATGAAACCTATACCATTTTGTTCAAAAATGATCATACTACATTGCTGTGGTCTTTGTTTTCCAACACAATTGCTATTTCATGGCGAGAACTCAGCCTAAACACGAACTTCGGAATCGTTTGGACCGAACTCGTCCCCCGCACTCTTTGACAACGTATCTTTGATCCACGAAAACAATCACAATTTGAGGAGGAATTCCACATTTATATACATCAAACGATAGCTCCGGGCCTGAAAAACACCTAACCACATGAAAATGGCGAACTCCTACTTGGTTATGATATATTTGCACCGCAAAGATTTAAAGACGAAAATATAATTTCACATAATTGACGTCACACACAAATGCTTTTAAAAAAGTACCGCAAAGTACCGCTTCGAAAATCTCGCTGCATGTCATTGAGTCATTGCACTAGAAGATCCAACATTCATTTCTTGCGACTTTTTGCGACTCTGGGTGTAGCAGCCAAACATCAGCCCGCGGTGGGCCGGTGCTCGGCGCCAAACGCGCCGGGCCGGGAGTTGTTGATTGAACACTCCCCTTCTAACTCGGCTCCTGGGCCACACAGCGACACGTAGTAAGTGGCATTCGAAAGAGCGCCCAAAATTCCAGCTAGTGTTCAGGTCAGCTAGATTCCAGGCCATTTCTAGGTCAAGTCAAAGGTCACGTCACCAGAGGTCATCAAAGGTAAAATGCTGCATATTTCAACATTTCTCGAAACACCGGCCCTTACCTCGGGGACCAATAGAGCTACATCGTCGCGGAAAAGTGCATTCAATAGCTCTTTTAGCGGTCTTTCTGAAATAAGCCCTCAGATTTGGCTTAACACTCGCCCGTAGTGGTGTTTTTCCAGCCGCCAACGTAAACAGGGGATCCGTTGTAACCCTTCCCCCTCCCCCTGCCGTTTCGTCCCTGATCGAGCTAGAGTTTTGCGGAAAAGACGAGCGTGTTGCCCGTAACGAGAGGAAGCCGATGATATCCAATTTTAAGGTCCTAGGTCAGCGGTTGAACCTCCATGTCAGGCCAATGACCCAAAAGTCGGGAACATGGGGACTTTTTAGAACGTCGTAAAGGGTGGCTGCCATGTTTTCTTTTTGTGCTGATCACGAATATCATGTTAGCTATGATCATAGATTGTCTTCATGCATTTAGGCCAGGTCGGGTCAGGTCAGGTCAGGTCAACCAGTAGGGGGTTTGCCGGGTATTCGTAGTAGGTGGCAACCGCCTCTGACAGCTTCTTAACATGTTACGAAGGCACCAAAGCTGCATCGTAAATGTTCAAATGGTTGCAAAATTCGAAATCAGCTCCAAAAACTGGCCTATAATCATGTAAAAATCGAAAAAATAAACCGAGGTCATCAAAGGTCAGTGACCTGACCTGACCTCCTGGTGACCTTGACACCCACCCTTAATGCATGGAAGCAACATCATATCCCATGTTTGAACGCTTGAAACCACGAAAAGACTGCAAACGCGCGGCTAATGCGAGCCGGCGTACGCTGAATCGCGATTCCGGCCGAACATGGTCTCGAAAAGAAGGTCACAGGTCAAAGGTCATTAGTGTCAGGGTCATGAAATTTTCAGGGTAGGGGTAAAAGTAATTAACACGAGGGTACTGAAAGTTTTGTTGCGATAGGCCGCTTTTTACGCGGGTTATTAGCGAAAAAACGAGATGGTCCGTTCGAAGACTCAGGCCCTGTCGCGCTAGAATGGCATGTCCGTCCAGTGTGCGGTGCGCGGACAGGTCGGCCGCAGTCCCCCCGATTAGCTGGCTGTCGCGGCTGAGCAGAATGTATCGCCGTTTGTCTGTCTGTTCGACAGAGCTGGTGTCCCGCATGGACCCGACGGGGAAGCGGACCATTTTCGTGCTGACCAAGGTGGACCTGGCGGAGGAGAACCTCGCCAACCCGGACAGGGTGAGTGACTGAACCCTGCACACCACACCGCCCCTCCCTTCCTCCTTCCGTATGGTCCGTGCCGACGCGGCCCCGCCCCTGCCGAGATACGGCCCGATGCGGCCGCTGCTGGAGTTTGTGTTTGGCGGTATGTTACTGTGTCGTGTTCGCTACTGTGCTGTTTTCTGTGCGCCACTGTGCCGCGGGTGGTCCGATCTTGTGCCGTGTGCCACCGAGTCGGCTACTGCCACCCTGGCTTTGAGCTGCTCCAGCCCTCGGTCTCCATGTCCCTCCGTCGGAGTAGACTGCCGCGCCCCACCGACGCCGTCTATGTAATCGTATGTCGACAGATCCGCAAGATTCTCTCGGGAAAGCTGTTCCCGATGAAGGCACTCGGCTACTTCGCGGTCGTTACGGGCCGGGGCAACAAGGACGACAGCATCGACGAGATCCGCAACTACGAAGAGCAGTTCTTCCAGAAGTCCAAACTGTTCCGGTGAGTCAGGAGCTACCCACTCCGGTGCGGCTTGGCGGGGCCGAGTGGGCCGCGGACAGCTCTGGTCAGCGGACCCCGACCCGTGCTGACTGTGTAACTGGCTCGGCAGGTCGGACGTGATGAGCTCTGCCCAGTGCACTGACTGTGTAACTGGCTCGGCAGGTCGGGCGTGATGAGCTCTGCCCAGTGCACTGACTGTGTAACTGGCTCGGCAGGTCGGGCGTGATGAGCTCTGCCCAGTGCACTGACTATGTAACTGGCTCGGCAGGTCGGGCGTGATGAGCTCTGCCCAGTGCACCACCCGTAACCTGAGTCTGGCCGTGTCCGACCGGTTCTGGAAGATGGTCCGCGAGACGGTCGAGCAGCAGGCGGACGCCTTCAAGGCCACCCGCTTCAACCTGGAGACAGAGTGGAAAAACAACTTCCCCGGGTGAGGCGCGCGGACCACGGGAGACACGGCGGGTGTGCGTGTGCGTGTTGAACTGTTAGCGGTAGTTCAGAGTACGTCGTGCTCCCTGCGCACAGTGCGCCGCTGCTGTGTGTCTATGACCGGTCGGCAGTTGTGTCTGTTTGTGTGTCTGACCGGTTAGTATGTGTGTGTCTGTCTGCGCCGGCAGCCAGCGGGAGCTGGACCGTGACGAGCTATTTGAGAAGGCCCGCGGAGAGGTACTCGACGAGGTGGTCAACCTCTCCATGGTGTCGCCCAAACAGTGGGAGGAGGCGCTCAACAGGAAACTCTGGGAAAAAATGGCCACATACGTGTTCGAGAAAGTTTACCTGCCGGCGGCCCAAAGCGGCAGCGCAGGTCAGTGGGGCGGGGGGAGGGGTTATAAGGCTTTGGTCCCCCGTGTTCGGCCGGTCTCCTGTGGTTCGCCGGCTCCCCACAGCCGCTGAATGGACTGCCGCCGCCGACAGGCACCTTCAACACCACTGTGGACATCAAGCTGAAGCAGTGGGCGGACGACAGTCTGCCGCGCCGCTGCGTGCAGATTGGCTGGGAGACCCTCGAGGAGGAGTTCAAGTACGTGTGCACCATGCCGCCGGCCATACAGGATGCTAAGATCCACTGGGTCATGCGTAGAGCGTGAGTGCGTGCACAGTGGAGTCGTTGGGGCAGTCCGTTGCTCCGAGCCCCGTTCTCGACTGGGCCTCTTAGCGAGTGCTAGCTGCCGGCGGGTGCGCGAGTCGCATCCGCTCGGCGTTCGTGGACGGCTGGGCGTCGTCGTTAGTCGTTACAGTCCTAACGTGACGATATTGTCCTAACCTGTCCTAACCTGCCCCGAAGCGTTCATTTCGAATTCCGTTGATGTGTTCTAAATTCGACCCGTTGCCCCGCCTCTTGTGCCAGGAAGTTCATGTCTCGCTCGGAGCGGCGCAAGGACCACGAGCCGCTGTTTGACCCGGTGAAGCACGCGGCGGTGGAGGAGGCGCTGCGCGACCACGACTGGGAGCAGCGCGCCGTCGAGCAGCTGCGCGTCATCCAGCTGAACACACTCGAGGACCGGGCCGTGCACGACAAGCGCCAGTGGGACGCGGCCGTGGCATTCCTCGAGCAGAGCATCAAAGACAAAATGCAGGTGCGTCCCGGGCCCGGCCCGGCGCGGTGATCGAGACCGGTCGATGTACCACGCGGTATACGGTCAGCCATCCACGGCGCAGAGAGCGGCAGCGGTCTGCCCAGGTCCACGTGTGAGCGGTGCCGGCCGTGACCGTGGCCCTGTTCGATCCTACCCCGCTGACGCTGCCCCTGCCCGCCCAGACTACGGACGAGATGCTGGCGGAGATGGCGGGGCCCGGCCTCTGGGAGAGGTGGCTGCACTGGCGCTCGGCCACACCGGAGCACCGGCGGCGCGCCGCCGTCCGCGCAGAGCTCGAGAGGACGCTGCACGCCGACCACGTGAGAAAAGGCTGCGTGGGGAGGGACGGGTGTAGGGGACCGCACCACCCCGCACAGCTTTGACGGACGGGAGAGGGACGAGAGCACCCGCCGAATGTCTGAGGGGAGGCAAGGGAGCGCCCGCCAGACGGCTGTGAGTGGAGGCCGTCCTCAGCGGCGACCAGTTTTAGAGAGGTTCTGTCCGTGTGTGTGCGTGTACACCGCAGTCGCCCTGAACCCCTCCCCCTCCCCTTCACTCGCAGGACCACCCTCCGCAGCTGGGCTACGACGAGATAATGGCCATTCGAAACAACGTGAAGACCAGCTGCGGCCTGGAGGTGGACAGCGAGCTGATCCGAGACACGTGGCGCCCAGTGTACCGGCGCTTCTTCCTGCGCCGGGCGCTGGCGCGCGCCTACGACTGCCGCAAGGCGTTCTGGCTGTACCACCAGGCGGTCTCCGAGTCCGAGTGCGACTGTAACGACGTGGTGCTGTTCTGGCGCATCCAGCAGATGATGCGCGCCACCGCCAACACGCTGCGACAGCAGATCGTCAACCGGGAGGCGCGCAGACTCGAGAAGCGCGTCAAAGAGGTGAGCAGGTGCCGCGGCAGCCCCCCTCCCCTCCCCGTCACGATCTGGGTAGACGGAGTCTCTTCCGTTGGGGTCCCCCTTCCTCGCTGGCGCGCAGTACCTCTGTCCTGTGTGGAACTGACGTCCGGTGCTGTGTGCAGTGGGCGATGGCTCGATACGGGCTCTTTGATATGCGTTTATGCCGCCATAATTGTATATTGTGTACACACGCTGTTACCGTACGTACTATTGGTCTCAAGATAAGGTTTCCACGGACCAGCTGTAGTGGGATGGTGTAAAAATACCCAGCAGTGGTGGCGACGGCGAGGGTATTCACCAAATTGCTGGTCGCTGGAGTCCATACCTTGAGACCAATAGTGCCCTGCACAATGGGCCATGAGGGCCGTGACCAACCGGTCTCGCCGTGCCGGCCAGGTGCTCGAGGACTGGAGCGTGGACGAGGAGAAAAAGCGCTCGCTGCTGACTGGACGGCGCGTCTCGCTGGCCGAGGAGCTGAAACGGGTCCGCCAGGTGCAGGAGCGGCTGGAAGAGTTCATCAACGCCCTGCAAAACGAAAAGTGACCACGCCTGGCCGCCTAGCAGCGCAGTGTTGCCGCGGTGGCCGATCAGGGCACGGAAGTGATAGTCCAACGACATTGTTTGGTGAGCCGGCCCGGCTGCGGTCGGCTGTGGAGGCCGCTCTAGCGCGGGGCGGAGTACCTTCCAGTGACGCGGTTAGCAGCGGCGGTGGCTGGCCTTCGGCCGCGCTGCTCGCTGCAGCGCTGCTGGCCGGCCAGTGCTGCCTCTCTGGTCTGGCTGCGACTGTACCCTGGCCGGGACGGCTGCCGCTGGCGAGACTGCTGGTTAGTACTATCGGGTGATATGGTCTGGTCAGGTGGCGGTCGGCCGGCCAGCGTCTGGCAACGCTTTGTTCTGTTGCCGTGAGTGTGGGCGTCGTTATTAGTAGAAGTCGGAGCCGGCATCCTCCGGCAGACTGAGGTCAGGTGTTTTACCGTGTCGCAACCGCCCGCATGTTTTTTTTTTTTTTTTTTGCCAATAAATGTGATCGTGATCCGGTGAGACTCTTGGTGTTTCGTAGCCCACGGTCAGTGGCGCAGCCAGAACTCTGGCGACGGGGATGAGAGACGTTCGCGATGGGCCCCCCAGCAACGTGGGCCCCCCTAAACCAAATGGGGGCCCCTTACCAACAACGAATGGTCAGATCATTGTCATCATTGCCAGCCAAATCGGGGAAAAGGACAAACAGCTCTTGACCTGAAGAGGCACGTAAAAAACAACAGCATATTTACAGAAACACGACCATTCTGCTCATATATGATGGACAGCGTGCAATTGATGGCCAGCGGCCACTCAAAGGGTCGGCCTAGGTCAAAAGGCTTTTAAAAAAGCTCAACATCAGTTTTTCGACTATTACTTTTGATATAGCAGACGAGGTAGAGTTATGACATTGTATTGAAGGTGTTAACCCGCGCCGGGCCGGTGCTCTGAGATTCCGCGCCGGGCCGGGGGGGTGTCTGAACACCCCCCTTCTAACTCGGCTCCTGGGCCACGTAGCGACACGCGGTAAGCGGCAATCGAAAGAACGTCCAAAATAAGGACGAAAACACTTCGGTCATTTTTTGGGTCAGGTCACCAGAGGTCACCAAAGGTCAAATGTTCACTATTTCAACATTTTGGAAACTGCCAACGGCTATCTCGGGAACCGATAGAGCTACAGCGCCGCAGAAAAGCGCATTCGATAGCCCTTTTACAGACCTTTCTGAGTAATGTTCTCAGATTTGACCTCAGTGTAGTGTTATCATGGATAAGAGATACCTGGATGGGGCACTCTCGGCGGTATCCTTTGATCTACGCGTCACACCGCCGCGGCCGGCGGCCGCCTGGTGGCGGAACCCGGAACTAACAACGTACACGACCGCCGGGCGCCCGGGCCGGCTGAGAGCATTAGCGGCGGCCGTATCTTACGCTCCTCGCCGTTTCAAGCTGCGCTATTGGGGCCTTTGGATGGGTGGGTGGGTGTCAACGGGTAGTCAGCACGATGCTACACGTGTGCAATGTGCTCGATTTCATAAAAGTCGTGGTCGCTCGGATACGTTAGCCCGCTTAACGACGATCGAATCGCGGATTCCGCCCGCAGTTTCTGCGCATGTTCGTCCTCTACATCCTCACAACCAACTCACCTCATCACTGATCACCCATATTTGTTCTGAGCTGATAGCCAGCCACCCCACCCGGCTCCTTGGCGACTGGTGAGGGCACTAGGGCAGTACGAGGAGAACCATTTCCCTCCAGTGCTTGCATTACCGAGACATGCCGGTCTCGCCTGAAGCTCAGCTCCGCCTGTCGACGGTCGAATCGGCCCACTGTATGTATGCCCCTATTCTCTTATTTAACGCCCCAAAGAATTATAATACACCAGAAGCTATACAGGAACCGACACACCCGCACATTAAGTTAGCAAATGCCATGAGTAAACAGAATGCTGAATGAGACGATTCTATTTGCAACAAAAACTCACCGATCTACAGCGCTCAGCATTAGCTTTCTTCAAAACAACAGCCCATCAAAAACAACTCCCAAGGACGGACAAGTTCACAGACATCTAAAAAACACTGATCAGTGCCCACTGCCCTCCAGTAACGGAGGCCATTGATGGAACAAGGGGCAAGTAGGGAAGTGGAGACGTATCGATACAAACATGACCAGTAGATCTCCACGCCTTAACGCATCAGGGTTCAGGTGTCCATTGGTCTTTATAAACATAAGTGATACACAAAACTACTTTCAATATCAAACATCCTAGCAATACATAATTGCCCAATGTCATCCCTAAGCATCAATCAAACAGTTAAATTAAGCAAACACTGGCATTTACAAACATTAACACGAAGGCACTGTATACAACACCCAATACACATACATGCTTAACACTTGAGGCACCACACAAGCATTGCCATCATGATCTTGCCCCAGCCCCAATCCCCATCCTTCCAGTCCAGTGCTCATAAACAGACTGATCCAGAACCAATGGCTGGTAGCTCGTCAAACTGGAAAGTGGAAAAGGTACAAATGTGATTAGATATAATAGGTGGATATTATGAAGAATCAACTCAATTTCAATGCATATTTATAAAATAATAGTAATATTAATTGAGTTATATCATTAGAAAGTATTATAAGAACGGAATGTTCCTGAATACAAGATAGGTAGAAATACGAATGCACTTCCTTGTATATTTGATAAAATATTAATCATTTCATTTTTATAGGAGGAATTTAGCTTCTTACTAGACATAAATTTCCATTTTTCCTAAAAAAAGGTATTAACTATTTATGATAAAATGATTGCAATCAAGAACTCCTTGAAGAAGCGTAAATTCGTAACGAAAAATTATTGGTAGGTGGAAGATAATAATTCTGTGACCATATTTTAATAGTATATTTATTATAAATCTTGTTAGTTAATGAAAAAAGGTTTACAAATAAACTGTTCAATCCAGACAACACTTCAAGCTAAACATATAATACTTTGCGCTGTGGAAGTACCTATTTTGATATGCAGCATTATAAGTCATTATAGTGTTGTAACTTGTAGTTAAGGTCTGAAATGAATGTGGGGCTAAATAAGAATGCATTCCAGTATCTTTAAAATGTATTTATTTTGCATTATTCTTATAATAAGGCAAACTATTCCAAACCAATGTTAAAGCAGTGTAATCTGTGATGAACAATGTGCGCCATATTTGTAGTCACCACTTCAAAGGCCATTCTCCTATTACCACACATGAATATTCATTTAATTCTACATGCCATCGATTCTCGGAACGATTCTGAATAAAACCCACTACCTCACATCTACTTAGCCTACCGTATCAAAGAGATATTCACCGATTTATGCTTCTTGCCAAAAAGGTGTTGTTTTCAGAGCATGGCGTTATTTCATCAATTATAGCTATTGGGACCAAACTTTTACCTTCACTGCATTCCTCACCTTTAAATATAAAATATGCCGCCCCAACTTCTTCTTTAAACACACGTAATCACACGTAAAAGCAAAATAACGATCGCCGCAAAGCACTCCACCATTGAGTTTACAACAGGCGCCAAGGTCGCGGTCGTGTACGTTCCTCGCGCATGCGCATAACGGCCGTGTGACGCTAAAGTCGCCGGAGTGCCCCATCCAGTTATCTCTAATCCATGGTGTTATGGAACCCGAACTGTCAGCTGTTGTATACAATGGCCAGGTGGAACGTAGACTGTATTTTTTCCAAAATGGCGGAGTCACGTGAGGTCTTGTAAAAAGCACTAAACTACTGCCATAGCGAACACTACACCCGCCGGCCCTTTAAGATACACTTCTCGCCGATCACGTAAATCGGCGCGGCAAGAATCGGCGGCGTCCTCGGGAGGAGGCCGGCAACTCACGGCTCGGGGTGCCGCCGACGGGCGCCCTCTGAGGCGGGCGCGTTCTACCGGGGGACCGGTCACGAGCAGCGCCGGTGGCGGCCGGCAGCGCGACGTCAGCGACATCTGACGGGCGGGCGCTCTCTGTCGGCGCTGTAGGTGGCGCGGTGGACGCTGTCGGCTGCGGCGATGGCGGCTGGGGCTCGCCGGAGCTCGGAGGAGCCGGGTCGGCCGGCGGCGGCGGCGGCGGCGGCGGCGGCGGCGGTTCCGGCCCGTCGGTGCTCGGAGGTGCTGAGCCGGTCGGCGCCCCGTCTGGGATGCGGGCGAGGTGTGCAGCGTTCCTCTTTGTCCCGTCGGACAGGATGAAGGTCGCCGGGCCGAGCTGTCTGGCGATTCGGCGCGGGCTGGAGAACCGACTCTGGTTCTTGGGCACGTGCCCCTGTCGCCGCACGCGCACCGTGTCGCCAGGCTGGAGATCTGACGGCCGGGTGGCCTGTCGCGAGTCGTACCCGCGGCTGTTGCGCTGCTGCTGGGTGGCGACTCGGTGCTGTAGCGAGCTGTCGCGCGGCGGAGTCTCTGTGGTGACCGGCAGGTGCAGACGCATGCGCCGGCCGTGCAGGAGCGCCGAGGGTGACTGGCAGCTAGTGCAATTGGTCTAGTGCTTCAGCTGGTCTAGCGCCAGTTTGGCTAGTTTCGTTTGAGCTAGTGCCAAAGTGCCATTCATTTGAGCTAGTGCCTTTGGTCTAGTGCCGTAATTTCGTCTAGCTTTCAGCAGACTCATTTCCAAATCCAAATTTTAAAGGATGCTCGCCCAAATCTTGCGCCTCATCTTTGCATCATGGATTTTGAGTTAGCTAGTAAGCGCGCTTTGTTAAAGGAAACAGTCCACTTTCCTGAAATCAGTATTTTGCTATTGATTTATGATTTTTATGCTCAAAATAATCATGAAATAAAATAAAACCTTTTTGTAAAAACAATTATTTTCTATATTTTAATATAGGACGAACTATATTATATGTAAAATAATGTTTGACGCGGAAGCTTATTACGCATTGACCAATCATATTGCGTAGCTCAAACCTACGCATACTGCATTGGCTGTAAGCAGCACGCTGATTGGCTGACGATGACGTGGCTGCATTCCTGTGCAAGGCACGCATTCCTCTACAAGGCACTCTTTTCGGAACGAGAAATGGAATATCTTCGTCTAGGGTGATCGTTGAGCCGTAAAAGCTCCTGATTTGTGCTAGTCTCAGCTCAAGCTACGAAACTGCTATTCCAGCTCAAAATCCCATGTTAAAAGTGAACTATTTCCTTTAACTGAATTTCCTCAAGTGAATGTAGCAGGCTGTTTCTTTCATTTAACTCAAGCGGTTTGGCGGAAAGTTCAGGGAGCTGGCCTAACGGAAAATTACATTAATCAACCGGAAGTTCGAGAAGCGGTGAAATCCCTCTGCGCTCTTGCCTTCCTTGACGTTGAAAATGTGAACGAAGCTTTTGAACAACTTCAAGAATATGTCGAGCAAATTGCCATCGAGGGATTAACAGACCTTTATGATTACTTTGAGGACACATATATAGGAAGGCAAGGGCGCAGAGGGGTTCGCCGAAACCCCCAAATTCCAAAAGAAATGTGGAATGTTAACCCGCGCCGGGCCGGTGCTCTGAGATTCCGCGCCGGGCCGGGGGGGGGGGGTGTCTGAACACCCCCCCCCCTTCTAACTCGGCTCCTGGGCCACGTAGCGAAACGCGGTAAGCGGCAATCGAAAGAACGTCCAAAATAAGGACGAAAACACTTCGGTCATTTTTTGGGTCAGGTCAAAGGTCAGGTCACCAGAGGTCACTAAAGGTAAAATGTTGACTATTTCAACATTTTGGAAACTGCCAACGGCTATCTCGGGAACCGATAGAGCTACAGCGCCGCGGAAAAGCGCATTCGATAGTCCTTTTACAGGCCTTTCTGAGTAATGCTCTCAGATTTGACCTCAGGTCAACGGTTTAGCCTCCAGAGGACAAAAACTCCAAAAATAGCCGTTTTTACGAAAATCGGTTTTTCGGCGATAACTTTTGACTCAAAAGAGCCATGACATTACTTTTGCCAGCATCGTGTTCCTCTCGTCGAGACGCGTCGAATGAACTATAAGTTGACCTTGAAAGGTCAACTTGAAAATTTGACCTCAGGTCAAGGTCATGACCTGACCGGAAAAGGTCATGTTGCATATCAGTCGATCCGCAACGTCGAGCCGAACACATCTAAGGCGTTTTCAGCGCTCTAGGACGCCTCTATCAGAAGTTATTAGCGAAAAACTGTTAGATTCTGTTCGTGACCTGAGATTACCTCGGGGACATAACGAGGGGTCACAGTTGCCATTTTCTAGTTCAGTGTGTCAATTTTACTTACATCTCGATGTTTGAGAGTGTCTAGAATGGCGTTCGTGCAAAACAGACGCTTTTCAATTTTCTCCCATTGACTTATAATGGAGAGGCCGCAAAATTGACCTGACCTTAGGTCAACGATATCAAAATTCCGAGATATACATTTTATAGATACTGTTGCTCTTATCAATTGGTGAAAGTTTCAAGGCAATCGATCAATCGGTGTAGCTATGACGAGCATTCTTATTTTTTCTGAGGTGAGGTCACTTGGCGTGACCTGGTGACCTGACCTAAGGCGACCTGGGTCTGAAATTTTCACAACATGTGCGGAAAAGATGTACAAACAGGTGTGCCAAAAACGGCGGCGCTCCGCGCCGCCGTTTTTGAGATATCTGCGAAAAACCGCAGGGGGGGTGTTCAAACACCCCCCCCCCCCCTCGGCCCGGCGCGGGTTAAGGAAAGGACCATATCTGGCATACCCCGAACAACCAACAAGCTTGAGGGATGGCATCGGGGGATACAGGCCATGCTGGATTCCCCCCCATTCCTCCATCTTCCGTTGCTTCGCAGCGCTCCAGCGTGAAGAAAATTTACAAGTTAACGATCTTTTCAGGTTTAAGGCGGGTCATGACGTTCAAAAATCCAAGAAAACTGTTAAAAATATGAATAAACGCCTGACAACACTTATAACCAGACTAGCGGAAGGCACCATAGAGCGGGCGGAATTCCTTCGTGGCGTGGGATATGCTATCACACTGAACGTTTAAATCCGAAACATCAAGATTTGGGCGGGTTGCCTTTAACCCGCGCCCCGTTGGGCTCTGCCGAGCAACGCGCCCCGTTGGGGAGGGGGCATTTTGCCCCCCCCCCCTAAGATCTCGAGAACCACGCAACCTAGCGACAAGCGGCAAACGGTGTTGGATAGCCCTGTCAGGGAACTACCTTGTGACCCAATTTTATTGACCTAGGCCAAACCGATGACGTCACAGGTCAGGTCAAATGTCCAATTTTCACCGTTTACAGGCATTTCAAGAAATGCGTTGTAAAATCGAGTAAAATGCATTTCATTGAAAATCATCGATGGGGAAATGTTCTTCAAACACATATTTTGCTATTTGAGGTCACTGATACCAGGTCAGGTCACAGAGGTCAGGTCACGGGGGGGTCACAATATGAAAGTGTCGTGTGATACATGTTTTATGGTCCATTTTACATGACGAATGCGATTATGTGGGTCAGGCAGCCTTTGGGGCCAGCTTAGGTCACGTTTTGGTCAAGGTCAGGTCAAGGTAAGGTCAAGGTCAGGTCAAATTAGGTCAAATTTCAAAGTTAATATTTTTGCATAAAATGGGTATTGACTCGATGCAGCTCGTCACGGGGAGTTCAATGGTGGTCTTTGTTTTGCCGTACGTGGTCTAGAATCGCTAAAAATTGAGTTCAAAAATTTGACGTCATCATTTTTGAACAGTTTTTTTCGCTATAACTTGGCCAAAAAACGAGATATCGATCTGAAATTTGGTATGTATATAGAAGAGCGCAGGGACTATCACATATATTCCGTTTTTTTTCGAAATTCGGAAAAATTTTTGATTTTTTTAGTTTTTCTAAAAAAATCAATTTTTTTAATTTTTCAGGGTCAAAATCCCAAAATTTTGAAAATCCGAGATAGCAATTTTGTAGCGCCGCTTTTTGTCTACTAGACCATATAAAGAACTTTGAAATTGCTTGATAACTGTAGATTTAGTGAGCGTTTCAAGATTGCATGTTTTTTGCTCATTTTTGCGCGAACATGACCTCAGTTTGACCTCAATAACTCCTGACCTAAGGTGACCTAAGACTTGAAATTCGGTGTGAAGGTGTCAAATTGATGCCCGGGAAGGTGCTGAAAATTTGGCGGCGCTGCGCGCCGCCGTTTTCTTGCTATTCAGGAAAAACCACAGGGGGGGGGCCAAAATGGCCCCCCCAACGGGGCGAGGGTTAAGGTTTGAAGAAACTCTATATATGTTTGTTCCGGCAAAAGGGCATCTGAACTAAGTACACCAACATCCGAACATCTGAAATCTGAAGTGTGTTATACATAATCGAACGAACGAAATATATACGACAACGAGCATCTCAGGGAACTATATATTTCAAATAAATTTCGGGAACTAGCACAAATGAACTAGACCAAATATGACACTAGCTCAAATGAAGCTAGCTCAAGTGGCACTAGACCAAATAAAGCACTAGACCAAATGAACTAGCCCAAACGATACTAGACCAACAGACACTAGTCCAAGTGGAGGGGACTCGGTGCAGTGCGGGGTCGCTCGGTACAGAGCGAGGCGCTGTCGCATGTGTCCGCTGAAGCTGGCGGCCGTCCGCGACTGCAGCTGTGTGGCCTCCTTGAGCCACATCTTCACCTCTCGGTTGAGCTGATCCACTGCTCCGTTTCTGCGCGGCCAGTAGACGACAGACGTGTGGTGTCTGATTCCGCGCTGGGCCAGATACTGTCGGAACCTGTCGCTGGTGAACTGGGGTCCGTTGTCGGTCACCAGCTCGTCACACAGTCCCTCTCTGGACCAGGCCTGGCTCAGGAACTGAATGACGTCATCAGTTTCGATGGATGACGTCAGAGCGACCTCTGGCCACTTACTATGGTAATCCGTCATAGTAATGGCGTACTTTGCAGACGGTGGGGCGCCGGGGATCGGGCCCACGATGTCCAGTCCGAGCTTAGACCAGGGCCGGTCTGGAAGCTCGACCGGTTGCAGCGGCGCGGGGCGCGCCTGCTGCGTCAGCACGGCGTCCTTTGCGTGGCAGGACGGGCAGTCGGCGACCAGTGCAGCGGCGTCCTTTGACATTCCAGGCCACCAGGCGAGGTCGCGCAGGAGCTGCCTTGTTCGCACGACACCGTCGTGCGCTCGGTGCGCCAGTTGGAGGTACTTTGAGCGGAGCGCGGCCGGGACGACGGCGCGGTCCGGGCCGCGCAGCACGACTCCGTCCTGGCGGACTTGCAGCTCGTTCCGCACGGCGAAGTAGTCCCGCGTCTCCGGCGTGCACTGGCGCGCGGCGTCGGGCCAGCCGGTGCGGATGACAGACCGCAGCTGCTCCATGACTGGATCGGCTGCCGACGCGGCACATACGTAGCACATACGGCCGACGTAGCACAACGGGCTGCCGCGAGAGGTGACAGGGACCGCCTCCAGGGCACAGCTGATGCGGTTCTTCCGATAGAGATATGTCGCCACCTGAGTGTTTTTCTTTTAGTACCATTGTACATTTTGTGTCTTTTACTATGATGATTTTTGTGACTTAGGTACTCTCATATTGCTTGTACTGACTGGGCCGTAATAGCCACCTGTGGATCAGCCCTAATAAACGAATTATTACGAATTATTACGAATTATTACGTCGTCATCAGTGATGACTTCACTGACGTCATCGGTGCCGTCCGTCCGTCTCGGCGGCGCCGGTGTCCGGCAGCGGCAGCCGCGACAGGGCGTCAGCCACTGGGATGCTGCGCCCGGGCCGGTACTCCACTGTGTACGAGTACGGCAGCAGGCGGGACTGCCACCTGGCGATGCGCGCGCCGGCGCGGTTGGACGTCTTCGGCGTGAGCAGAGTGGTGAGCGCAGAGTGGTCCGTCCGCAGGATGAATGAACGGCCCCACAGGTACGTCCGCCAATGCTCGACAGCATTGACCGCGCTGAGGGCTTCCTTCTCGGAGACGGAGTACCGCGACTCGGCGTCGGTGAAGGAGCGGGACCAGTACGCCACTGGCCGCTCCTCGCCGTCCGGCTGGATCTGAGTGAGCATGGCACCGGCGCCGCGGTCGCTGGCGTCGGTCGTCACGATCGTCCGGAGGCGGGCGCTGAAGGGCTTCATCACCGGCCTGGCTGAGATGAGCCATTTCACCTCGTTGAAGGCGTCGTTGGCCTCCTTGGTCCACTGGAATGTGGCGTCCTTCTTCAGCATGATGGCGAGGGGTCTCACCACAGCGGAGTACTGAGGCACGAACCTGCTGAACCAGCCGGTTGAGCCCAGGAGACTGCGCAGCTCCTTTACGTTGGTGGGAGGCGGGGCCTCGGCCACGGCCTTGGTGGTAGACAGGGGTACCGACAGGGGTGTCTGGAGAGCTGATGACCGCAGAACTCCACCTCTGGCTGGCTGAAGGAGGACTTATATGTGTTGATGGTGACATTTGCCTGCTTGAGGCGGTCCAGCACGGTGCGGAGGCGCCTGTCGTGCTCGGACTGATCGCGGCAGGTGACCAGGATGTCATCCAGATAGTGTCCACAGCCGTCGATACCCTGCAGTAGATGACTGAGCAGCTTCTGGAACGCGCTGCCGCTAGACACCAGGCCGAACGGGACCCTGGTGTAGCGCATCAGGCCGTCTGGCGTGAGGAAGGCGGTGATGTCACGCGAGTCCTCGTGCAGACGCAGCTGGTGGTAGGCCGACTTCAAGTCGATCCTGCTGTAGAGGGTGCCACAGAGCTTGGACTCCAGCTCGTCGATCGTGGGCAGTGGGTGGACCTCTGGCACGATTTGGCTGTTCGGCCCACGCAGGTCTACACAGACCCTGATCCTGCCGTCCTTCTTCCTTGAGACGGTCAGCGGGCTGATCCACTGGGAGGACTCGATCCTCTCGATGACTCCTGCTTCCAGCAGACTGTTCAGCTCTGCTGAGACCTCCTCTCGCACGGAGAGGGGCAGCCGGCGCAGCTTGTAGGCAGTTGGTACTGCGTCCGGCTTCAGCTTGATTCGGTGGACGTAGCCCTCGATGGTAGGTAGCTCTGACGGGGCTGAGCCTGCCAACGTGTAGACGCTGTGCGAGGCTGGGTGGAGGGTGACTCCCAGGGCCTGCAGCAGGTCCATACCCATGATGGCCTCCGTCTTCTTGGTGTCCACCAGGTAGAAGTTTGTTGGCACAGCCTGATTATTGTAGGTCACCGTGGTAGGCAGCGTTCCCAGGACTGGGAGTGGTTGCTGGCCGAAGCCGTAGAGCCGTGAGCTGGAGGGGCTGAACGCCACGCCTCTGAACAGCTCCTTGGCACGGTTCACACTCAGGAGTGAGCAGGTGGCACCCGTGTCCACCTGGAGGGGTACCTCCTGTGTGACGTCACCTGCAGTCACCTGGACGGTACAGGTGAGGCGTGACCCAGTGGTGGCAGCACAGGAGAGCACGTTCAGCTCCTTCACTGCTTTGTGGTGCTGTCGTTGAGCTGGCCTTGCTGGGGTTGCTCCACTGCCGCCCCTGCACCAGCTGGCGAAGTGGCCCTTCTTTCCGCAGGAGTGGCACGTCACTCTGCGGGCTGGACAGGCAGCATCCCTGGGTGCGTGATCATCACGTCCGCAGTTGGTGCAGAAGTCGCTGCTGGCGCTCTGCTGCTGCTGCTGCTTTCCCTTCTGTTGTGGCTTCCTCGTAACCTTTGCCACGGATGAGACGGGTGGGGCTGCAACTGGTTGGGAGATGGCTGCAGCCTCACGCAGGGAGTCCTCGTAGGTCTCTGCGACGCTCAGGACCTTGTCCAGAGTGAGGTCCCGGTCCTGAAGGAGCCGCTCCCTCAGGCGCTGGTGGGGGGTCTTCTCCACCACCACGTCCCGGATGAGTTCCGACTCCATTGGGCCGAACTGGCAGATGCGAGCCAGGCCGCGCAGAGCAGCGACGAAGTCTGCTGTGGACTCTGTGGGGGCCTGGGCTCGCTGTCGGAATCGGAATCGTTCCACGATTACGTTGGTCCTGGGAGTGTAGAACTCCCGGAGCTGGCGGAGGGTCACGTCGTAGTCGTCCTCGCCGTCACGTTTCGCAACCGGCGGCAGGGTGTCGAACACCCGGTACGCCTCGTCATCGATCGCGCACAGAAGCAGAGTGCGCCGCTGCTCGGGGGGCAGGGGGCTCGTGCCGCACCTGGCCAACAGATAAAGTTCGAATTTTTGTTCCCAGTTCCTCCACGGGACGGCCGGCGTCCCGGGATGGGGCAAAAACGGCACGGGTAGGGGCGGTTCACTGTCGCCGCTCATGGCCGTACCGCGGGCCGAAACACAAAAAAAGGTTACACTGAAACTCGCGACACGCGATTTCACTAAAGTCTGCACTTACCTCGTGCTAGTCGCCAAAATGTAGTGTTATGGAACCCGAACTGTTAGCTGTTGTATACAATGGCCAGGTGGAACGTAGACTGTATGTTTCCCAAAATGGCGGAGTCACGTGAGGTCTTGTAAAAAGCACTAAACTACTGCCATAGCGAACACTACACTCAGGTCAACGGTTTAGCACCCAGAGGGCAAAAACTCCAAAAATAGCCGTTTTTACGAAAAACGTTTTTTCGGCAATAACTTTTGACTCAAAAGAGCTATGACATTACTTTTGCCAGCATCGTGTTCCTCTCGTTGAGACGCGTCGAATGAACTATAATCTGACCTTGAAAGGTCAACTTGAAAATTTGACCTCAGGTCAAGGTCATGACCTGAACGGAAAAGGTCATGTTGCATATCAGTCGATCCGCAACGTCGAGCCGAACACATCTAAAGCGTTTTCAGCGCTCTAGATTCTGTTCGTGACCTGAGATGACCTCGGGGGCATAACGAGGGGTCACAGTTGCCATTTTCCAGTTCAGTGTGTCAATTTTACCTACATTTCGATGTTTGAGAGTGTCTAGAATAAAAAAGAAAAGAAAACTCGATATGTCATATTGTGACATCTGAAGCCCTGTATGCTCGGTTGACTCACCAACACAGCTGCTATTCCGCTCTCAGTCTGTATTTAGCGGTTTCCTGAGAAAACAAAAACACAATAAGCAGGGCACATAACTTCTGAACACATGTGTAGGCAATACAACTCACCGACAGTGCATATCTAACGGGGGAGGGGGCGAATCGTGAGGCCCAACAGAAAACTATGTACGAGTGCTCATTGGCATCACAAACAAGTCGTTCATTGGAGTCACAACAACTCGGACAAAACGAAAACAATACAGCCGTCAATGAACAATTGTAACAATTGTAAACAATCGATCAGTCGCTATCGCCGCCGATCATAGCTGCGGCAGTTTTGACGCAATCCCACACGCAGCAATCAAACTGCCATCTAGCTAGATCTTTTGACCTGAAAGTGACCTGACCTCAGCTATATTAAGATGAAAATGGCCTCAAATGACACAGGCGACACCGAATTCAAAATCTATGGCCTAAATGCACCATAAAACATGTGTCACACGACCGACTTATGACTTAAGATTTCCGTGACCTATGATGACCTGACCCTGACCTTATAATCAAAGTTCAAGTTTGGTACCCTCAGGGTACCTTAAGCATCTGTTCACGAGTGTAAAAAACAAAAATCAGCCTGATCTGACTTGTAAGACGGCAGCCAGAACCCAAAAAGTGAACAAGCCAAATATCGATAATTTTTACTTTGACCTGACCTGTGACGTCATCGGTAACCTCGAGGTCAATGAAATTAGGTTTCGCTCGACAGTTTTTCCGGGACTATCAGATACCGTTTCAATTTTGACGATCGGCCCAGTAGTTTCGGAGTTAGGAGGGGGCTACGAATAGCCTCCCCCCAGTGGGGCGTTTTATCCCGCGCACCGACGGGGGTCTGCGCCAACTTCGTACCGACGGGGGGGCGGATGACCGCCCCCTTGAGATCTCGAGAACGAAGCAAGATAGCGACAAGCGGTAAACGGCAAGGGATACCCACGAACAAGGTCTACAATTTTTACAAAGGTCATTTTCAGGTCAGGTCAAAGATGACGTCACAGGGGTCAAGAAAGTCAAAATGGCGGCGCTAGGTATTGAGAGTTTTTCTCGAATAACTTTCGAACTAGTCAATATAGGAACAAACTAAGGGCAGCATCGTGATCCTCTCGTCAATCCGCATCGAATGATATATATGTTGACCTCGAAAGGTCAAGGTCAAAGGTTGACCTCAGGTCATCATGTATATCATTCGATGCGCCTTGATGAGCTGAACACAATGAGACCACCCGCGCGGCGGTATCTTGTTCCTGTACGGAGTTATTGTCAAAAAACCGCTGGTGACCTTTGATGACGTCACATGACCTTATAGCTGCCCAACAGCAAAACAGACCTCTAGGTAGTGAAGGTTGATCGTATATGAGGTCATGTATGGTTTATGGGGCCATTCCGACCCGTTTTAGTGGTAAAAACAGGGAGTTGATTTTTCCCTTATTGACTTATATTGGGGAGGTCGAAAAATTGACCTGACCTTAGGTCAAACGATATCAAAATTCCGAGATAAACAAATTGTAGCTACTATTGACCTTATAACATCCTGCGACATTCAAAGGCCTCCGACATCTACTGTAGCTCTGGCACAGTGTCAAAGTTGCAAAAAAGTAACTTGAGGTTGGGTCATTCAAAGTGACCTGGTGACCTGCACTTCTCTGCACTCGACATTTTAGAGCTAGAGGGCTGATTTTTCGTATAGCTGCTCCTCAATCCTTTCTTGATGTCCACTGAAAATTTAAGTTTCTGGGATTTTTGGTTTCGGAGATATGACCTTGTTTTTCAGGTCATGTCATGACCCAAATGGCCAATTCTCAGCATCTTGCGTTTGCTATGGGCCTTGTGAGCTTTTGGCCCACCTTGATTTCGGCCTTTTTTGCCAGTCTTACCTCCCACCTATTATGGAACATGTTGTTCGACGATGTACAGTTGTCAAGGTCAGGGTCAAGGTCAACCTAGGTCATCTAAGATAATTGCGTTTTAGGGAAGCTGAATTTACTTTTTGTCAAGTTTTTTGACTGTATTTTTGGTAAAAGCTTCTCAGATCATGATTTCATGTAATATGGACACATAAACAATCGGTGCACACATCCAGTATACACACAGACACACACAAACATACAAACACATATAATTGACCTTGACCTAGCTTGACCTGAAATGACCTCAGCAGCAAAAATCTGGTCGGGTAGTGTGACAAAGAGGTTCTAGCTGGCTTGGCACCAGAAAACGGCATCGTCATCGGTATATGATAAGCAGCGCACTTGATATCCAACGGTGACCCAAAACAGCAACATTTTTTAGTTAGACCTGACCTGGAAGGTCAATGACTGACCTGATAAGGTAAAACTGGGTATCATTGGATTCGTCTCTTCCCAAAAAATCTTTTTGGTCTTTACCGCTAAGCTCTATCTCCAACAGGAACGAAATGGCGCGGGGGGTGGCAACCACCCCACCCCCCATGTGCGTTCTAGGATGGGAAAATGGCATGTGCGGGCGAGGGTTAAAGTTAGGAGGTTCAAACTCGCACACCATGTGTAAAATTGATGAGAGAATAGTCGTACCAAATTTCGTGGCGCTACGCGCCGCGGTTTTCCCGCTATTCGCGAAAAATCTCAGGCGGATATCCGCCCCCGTCGGTGCGCGTGATATACACATGTTGTGCTCGGTGAGAATCGTAGACACAACCGCGCTTGTTCGCGTGTATTCACAGAAGAACGGAAGATCCTTCGCACACACCGTTGCCGTTACGGCACATATTTTCCGTTGCCCTCTTATGGGACACGACTACTAATTACCAATAGCCAGGACACAACACGTTCCCCCTCTACAAAAAGTTCGCCACGTCCTGGCCCAGCACAGATGACCAGTGGGATGATGATGATGCGGTAGAGATCGCTGCCAGCCTGCCCAACCAGACAGAGGCAGTGACTAAAGCCGAGCTGCTTCAGGCTTCTGCGTCTGATGACGTGCTGACTCGTGTGCGCGCGTGCTTGAAGGCAGGGAACTGGAGCGGGCAGGTGAAAACCGACCCCTTGACCCGACCTTTTTACCAGGTCAGGTCAGAGCTGTCGTGCCAGGATGACCTTCTATTCAAGGGTGAGAGGTGCATGGCGCCAGCGGACCTGCGCAGACGGCTCCTGGAGCTGGCACATGAGACGCACCCTGGTGTCGTCCGCACGAAACAGCGTCTCAGAGAGCGGTACTGGTGGCCGGGAATGGACGGCGCCGTACAGGCTCTGCTACAGAACTGTGCTCTCTGCACTGTGCACAGTAAGTCAGCCAAGCCGTGCAGGTCGCCCCTGCAAACGGTATTAATGCCATCGGGTCCATGGTCCAAGCTGGTCTTAGACGCCATCGGGCCACTGAAAGGACCTAGCTCCGAGCGATTCGGACTGGTGTTGGTAGATGCGTTCAGTCGCTGGTCGGAGGTAGCGTTCATGTCGGAGGTAACCTCCTCCGCAGTAATCGAGTTCCTCCAAGCAGTCTTCGCAAGGGAGGGCATCCCTCAGGAGCTGCTCTGCGATAACAGATCAGTATTCACCTCCAGTCAGTTCCAGGGGTACTGTACCTCCCAGGGGATCAAGCTGATCCACAGCACCCCGTACTCGCCGCAGACCTGCGGTCTGGTGGAGCGTTTTAACCGCACGGTTAAAGACGCAGTGGAGTCCGCCCGGCTCGAGGGACAGTCCCGAGCTCCGTACGTACGGGCATTCCTCCAAACCTACAGGGCGACAGTCCACCCAGCTACCGGTCAGTCACCATTCCACCTGATGCGAGGGCGTGACATGCGCACAAAACTGAGTGCGGCCGGGGCCGGCGAGAGAGAACAGGGGAACCAAACCCGAGACAGCGCCCTCAGGAGCCACTTCAAGTCCTACCAAGACAAATATGTGGCCAGATACAATGAGCGGGCTGGAGAGGTGAAGTTTAACCAGCGCTCCGTAGGGGGGCCGAAACGGCCCCCCTGTCCTTTTCGGTCGATATCTCCTAAACGGCTGGAGATATCGCCACCAAACTTTCAGGACCCCTCCGGGCATCAATTTTACACATTGTGACTAAACATTTTTCCAGAGGCTATGATTGGTTGGCCACAAATGACGTCAGAATGACGTCATGTTCTGTCA